AAAAAGATTAAATGAACCCAAACATATAGACAGCATCAGAGGAGACATTCATTATTAGAGCACACTGGAGTTGGTTTTCTATACCATGTAATATCAGGCGACTTCATTTTTTTTTTAAATGTTTTTTTTTTTTTTTTGTCAATTTATACCCATACAAATAAAGATTGTCCTTCAAAAAGTGCAGATTCCACTGAAGTTAAAATCCTTTGAGCCGAGGAAGACATTTGGAAATTGAAAGCAAAAGGTACTTCCTGTTCTGTTTGTTGGAAAGGACCGCATCCTCCCGATGATTACAGACACTGTACGCTTATATTCTCATATATTTATATATATATATTATGTATAGTTTCAACAGTCTCCCCAAAGCAATGTGCATAATAGGTTTAAAGGTGATCCAACTACACACTGTGGATTGATAGAATCTCTATAAAAAACATTGTAGTTGTGTAAAATTTGCAGTTTCACCGGCCAAGCTGGGAAAATAAATGGACTTTGCAAATCTTAACCTGTCGTCTCCTGCTACAACTGGCCCTGTTAGGTAATAAAGGTTTATCAGGTTGTTTTGTGTTTTTTTTTTGTTTTGTTTTTGTTTTTTTGCTTTTTGTTTTGTTTTTTTTTAAGATTATTAGAAGCAGTACAATTCAAAGATGGCACATGTTTGAGGAACGTTATTGGGAATCCCATCTCAGCTGCGTTTCTACAAAGGGATTTTTTTTAATATATATATAATTTAGAGAACAGAAAACCCAAGGTGGACATGGAAGCCTGGGTTCAACACTCCACTGCATAGTCTCTCTGAGCAACACCCAACCCCGAGAAAGAAAAGGGGGAAAAAAATAAAAGTAAAAAAATAAATCCCACCCGTCCCCGACCCACATCTTTGTGCTGGTTAGACTAAAGCTTTTCAGGGTTTGTACATGTGTGGTCATACTAAGTGTAAAAGACAGCAGATTCTCACAGTTTTTGTTTTTCTTAAAAAAAAATAAAAAAAAAATAAAAATAGCCTTAGCACTTTTGATCGACCGTAGGAGCCGTTGGGTGTGTGTTATGATATAATATAGCATTTTAGTCACAGGATAGTTAAAAGAAAAAAAAAAAAAAAAACACAAGTCACATTATTTGTACTTTAAATATATATATTTTTTAAAGTAGTAGAGTTTCACCAGCGACCCTCCCTCCTCTCCTATCAATCTCTTTCCTTCTTTCCTCCCCTCGTCTGGCCCTGTCGTCAAGCTGCTTGGCAGCTTTTTGGGGATTGTACATTGCTCATGGTGGTTTTCCTCATGTCATCTTTTTGCAAATGTATTTTTTTTTTCTTCAAGCATTTAACATTGTCCAGCTTTTTAAATACATATATGCACACATACAGCTTAAAAAAAAAAAAGAAAAACAAAAAAAATCAATCCCTTTCCTTCCCTAGCAACCCTCCCTCCTCGATTTGGCATAAGTTCACTCTCTCTCTCTCTCTCACACACACACACACACACACACACACACACACGTGCATCTTCACACACACCAACAGTAGATTGAACAAGACAGAAAGATAGCACAATTCTGCTGGGAAAAAAAAAAAAAAAAAAAAATTACTGAGAGGCGTTTTACAGACGTTGCTTGTCCCTTCTCTAACAGCGCTAGCGATGCCACCTCCGAGGCTGCTCAGAGCTCAGTTATCGTCCCACTAACGTTTAAGGTAAGGATACTAAAGTAGGACAAAACCGCTCTTAGATCAGCGCAGGAAAATGTGCGTTGCTAAAAACAAAACAAAGCAAAACAAAAATAAATCAGAATGAACAAAGTCCTTTTAAACGAGCAGAAAGGGAATATGGACAGATTGGGGTCGACTTCCTCCGAACGCTCAAGACAGTTTCTTTTTCTTTTGGATCTTCTCCCCTGTAACTGAGCTTAGGGTTTGGATGTGGGAGAGTCGATTCAAGATAAGCCAGCAAGGAAGCGAGTGGAACCCTGTGTGTCCCTGAAAACGAGCCTTATAAGTCGCATCCTCTTGCCTGAGTCACAAAGGGGCTAAAAAAAATAAAATCAAAACTATTTTCAGTCATGGATAGGTCCCGCCATGATCGCCAGGCATGGTCAGAACATCCCCCTGCTTCTTAACCCCGCCCTCCAACAACAAACCACGAGCAGCAGCTGCAGTTCCTGCTCCGTCCCATGCGGTGGCGACATGGCTGAAGATGCTGAATGGGTCAAATCGGAGCTCTGCTGAGCCTTTTTTTTTTAACCGTTTTCGCTACAATCCGAGGCGAGGAAAAAACAAAACAAAACAACAAAAAAAACTAAGCACCGTCGACTTTAGCCGCAGCTCACGCCACACAATAGTTACCCTGTCGCTAAGCTAAATCCTCGCCCGGCCTTATGACCCCGACCCGACTCCGGTGTTTCCTCCAATCCGCCCGAGTGCAAAATCCAAGGCTCCTCAGTTCATTCTGTCAACTTAACTAAAAAAAAAAAAACTAAAAACACAGTTCAGATGTTCCATTTGATAACTTCAACAAGACAAATGCACAAGATATATATTTATATATATTTTTAGTTTAAGCAAAGAGATGTGGAATTAAGTAAACTAATCTTTTTTTGTATGATTGAATTATTTGGTAGACAGCATTCAATACTGGCACACACCACTGTCAAGTCTGGCTAATACTCAAGGTTTATTCACTACATACGTCTTAAAGTTGTTTATTTTATATATTCATGGTGAAACTAAAAAAAAAAGAAAAGAAAAGAAAACACAACTAAAGCCAAAAAAGCTTGTAGTACTTCTGAAATAAAAACTTTATATTGGTGTTGGGAGTGGGGGATGTTAATGTGTGCATGCCAACACTCACGCATAACAGGCTGAACACGGGAAAAGTAAAAATAACACGAGAAAAGAAAATTAAGGTCCATGGCTTCCGCTAATGCTGATCTCGTCCAACGTGCTCTGAAGCTTTCGCCTTGTCGCGCTAAAAATTGTGCATCATAGTAACTCAACAATCACTGGTATATAGGTAAATTTAATGTTCACGCAAGTATTTCTTTTGAAATCAACAGTTACATTCACACTCTCTCTCTCTCTCTCTCTCGCACGCACACACACACACACACACACACACACAAATTCATGATGTCAGAAACTTCAGATGAGTACCCCACCCTTCCCAGACCCAAAGGATGGGAAGAGAAAACCAACCAACCAAAAAAAGAAAAAATAAAGAACAGAAAAAAAAATTAAGAAAATAAAAACAGTACAACAATACAATCATATTCTATTTGTAAACAGGTAGAAGCCACTTGACTTGTTGCATCTTCGGACACATTTAGGATCAAGGCAATGAAATGTGGACGACTTTTGCACTGTTAAAATATCTTCAACCAAAAAAAAAAAATGTTTGTTTTTCTTCGTTTTTTGTTATATACCTTTTTAAAACACATTTGTGGCAATGATTATAAGCAACGAAACAAAAAAAATAGCATGTAGTCGTACTTAATGAAACATTTCAAACATTTTTTTTGAGAGACAGGGAACAAAAACGAAAAGAAAAACCTCTCGGCAGGCCTTGTGAATACGAGAGGCTACAGTATGCATAGATACAGATTTTGCCTTTTCTCTTGTTTTTTTTTTTTCTTATTATTATAAGTGACGAGACAATTTACACTCACATTAAAAACAGTCCCCAAAGTTTCTACAACAATGGAGTGGAGGAGGAGGAGGAGAGAGGGATGGAGGGAGAGAGGGAGCGCTGGGATGATTTACAGTCCCTCCTCCGTCCTTCCCACCGTCTTTACTGGGAATGCTCCTCCTCCCGCAAAAAAAGACAGCATATTGAAAGCAGTGTGTGAGCTTCTCCAGCTTTAAAGCAGTTATTTGGCAGAGGAAAAAAAAAAATAAGGAAAAAAAAAAGACCTTTACATAGTTTTCAGTGCTAGATGTTGGATTTTCCTTTCCTACAAGGAGTAGTAGTAGTTTTTATTTTTTTTGTTTTTAAATTCAACTACAAGGGGCGAGGGGGAAACTGGCTTGATTTCCTGAGAACCATTGCTGGTTATTTAGCAGACAAGAAGAGGAATAGTTTAAATAACCAACGCCATGGCCAAGAAAAAAAAAACAAAAAAACACTGATCCGAATTCCCAGAGTTACAACGCATCGTCTTCATCCTCAAGAGTTTTTTTTTGTTTGTTTTTTCTATTTCTTTTTATAATTTTTATATATACTTTTTTTTTTAGCTTTTTAATTTTTTTTTGTTATTTTATTTTTAGTTTATCTTCTCTTTAAAATGAAGAATGGACACACGTTCTGCCTCCTAAGTCTTGTAAACAAGAGGTTGCAGTGTGGCACCTCCAAAAAACATCGAAAGCCTATTCTGAAAGTGCTGTTCCCTCCCCGCCCCGCTAGGGGGCGACAGGGAGGGCTTGCTAGATAGGCCCCGCCCACTTCTTAGAGCAGGAGAGGCTTGCTAGTCCCAGCTGCGGCTACAGTCCTTTGCACTGCAGAGCTCAACTTTCTTTAGTTTTAAAACAAAAATTGGTGCAATACTTTTATAAATGTCACTTATTCTTTTCATGTTGTTTTATTTCTATCACCAGATAATCATCCTAAGTCAGGCTTTATTTTTGAACTTATCTGTTGATCTTGAACTCCACAACAACGCAGTAAGGTAGGCGTGCCAAGGCAGAGAGGAGCGCACATATACTCATTCACAATGCAATCACATACACACAAAGTACTCGCGCGCACACGTACGATAAGGACCTCAATGAGTAAACAGCTACACTGGAAAAAACTGGCTGCTCCCTCTATATTGCAGATTATATATACTGAGAAAAAAACCACATTCAGTGCAAAGTTAAAAAAGCTCATACTCCAACATTGTCAGCAAACAAAACGCAAACAAACAAAAAAAAATTGAAAATGTTGAAAATAAAAGAATTGGAATTCAAATAAACATGACGAATGAAACAAAATATATAATAATAATGAACTTGACTGAAGCTTTTTTTCGGTCTGAAAGAGTACTACCTGGAAGCAAATATCCATCCGTTCACATTATAGAATTGGCCTGCATGATTCAAGTATTCCGACTGATATGTTTTTGGGCTAAAACAAAGTGGACATATGTGCAGAAAGAGAAACGTAACTTGTATTCCACAGGGGGAGACACCCCGGACCCCCGTTTTCTTGAATATCTTGTAAATGAGAAAGAGTCCCAACTAGTGCTGCTGCGTTTAGAACTACTCTTTTCTTTCAGTTTTCTTCAGCTGATTATTCTCTACTGACCCGTCTCCCGGCCCCCCGTCTGGCGCTTCACATGGAGTCCCCGCCCCCCGTCAGGTGGTCCACCGGGAGGAAGGAGCTGATTGGAGAGGAGCTGCTGATCCGCCCCTGCTCAGCGGCGCTGGGGTTCCCCCACAGGCTACTGGAGTAGTTGGGCCCGCCCCACAGAGAGGATCTGTGCAGGTCACCGCTGTTCCACTGGCTGGGGTCAGAGGCGCGGCTGGGGAAGGGGTGAGCCTGATCCATTCGGCTTTGAGAGGAGCCGATGGCCTGCCAGCCAGAGGAGGGCGTGGCCAGTGACTGCCCTTGTGCAAAGAAGCGGCTGATTTCCTCCTCGCTGGCGAACTCAGCCAGTATAGTAGTGTTCCCCAAAACACACCTGCAGGGACACGAAGACGAGTTTATGTTTGCCCCGACACAAAACCCCCGAGTAGAGCTGCTGAAAAAGATAAGGGTTCATACATTTTTTTTTTTTTACAGTAAAATTTAAGCATTTTTTCAGGATTTTCCAGCTTCACATTTGAGACAAAAACCACACAAATAAAAAAAATTCAATTCAATTCATCATTATATGAGGTTTAGTGCTGTTAATAATGATGTATTTTACATTCTGCATCTAGGATAAGATAAACTAAAATATAACATTTTATGTTTTGAAATGTTTCATGTGTCCCGGACAGATCCAAGAATAAAACAACAATTTAACAAATAATAATGAAAAAAAACTTCCCAATTTCATCAATAATGCCATTTCAATGTATAAAATACAAGCCAAGCTTTATTTCATCTACACAGATCAATAATTCATGAGTCAATATTTATCAGATTGAAATAATCCAAACGAAGCACATCAAGGTAAATGGCCTTCCTGCTCAGATTAAATGCTTAAAGCACAAAAAAGTTACAAAAGAAATCTATATTAAAAAAACGCTCTCAGTTTTTCTGATATTTAGCAAAAGGAAATAATTTTGGTAATGATATCTGACCCAAAACAAGAAAAGTTTGGCGTGATTTAACTTAAGACGGTAAGAAAAAAAAAGTGTGCGTCTTTTTTATTAGGCGTATGAAAACATCTGGTATCAACTGTAACGATTTCCAAATTTAGGCTTTTAATTTAACTTTGGATTGTAATTTATTACAACATTTCGCAGTTTGAATATCAAGCAGATTTAAGAACTTTTTTACTTCAGATAAAAGGCTCACAAAACTTCACATTTATTTATATAAAAGAAAAACAAAAAAGTTTCTTCATACTTTTAAGTTGTGTAGCTCTGTCATATTAAATCTCAATGCAGTAAATTCAAATTTGTGGTTGTAAAATGGCAAATTGTAATAAAGTTTAAGGGAATAAATATTTTGCGATGCAACAGCACTTGGACCTCGAAACAACTGGCTAAAATAAGCTGATGGAAAGAAACGAGTTCGCGAATGACATGAAAAGTTGTATGATTGACAGTCTATGAAGTCTGTTGGTGGAAATAAATAGTTCATTCTCACATGTGCAGGCTCTTCTGGGCCTTGGCGGCTTCATCCTTTGAGCTGTAGCAAACCACGGCGTTACCATGTGGCAGGTTGAGGTGGAATGTGATCAGAGGGCCATGCTGCATGCACAGAGTCCTCAGTGTAGAGCCGTCGATCTGGGAACCCAAAAGGAGCACGCAAGCTAAAACATCAAGCACTTGGATAGTAATAAAACACTTAGTTTGTGCTGCGATTTATTTAAACTACTCCGAGTACCTGAGGTGTGAGATTTTTCAGAACGAGCCATTGGGTTCTCCCTGAGCTGCTGCTGTCACCCCAACTGGAGCCTGATTAATAAAAACATCATTTAAAACATTTTAAAAAAGCAGAGAGAGAGCGACATCTCACTCTGTAAAATTATTTATAATAGTAAAATTATAGAAACACCCATGCTGTCTCACCGGGCGTGTATCTGGACTCGGAGGAGCTCCAGCCCCCCAGCCTCAGGGCAGAGCCGTCCCAGCTGGAGGAGGCGGGGCTGGGCTTCTGGCTGGTGAGGCCGGGCGGTGGTCTGGAGGGGGCTGCTACTGGCAGCGGCTTAGGAGACAGGGGGACCTTCCAAAGCTCATGGGCTAAAGAGGAGTTGGACACAGAACCGCCGCCAGGAGACCACTTTGACTCACTGGGTCTAGCTGCAAGGGGGGGAGACAGAGTTTGATTTTATTTAGGAAATGTAAAACTGTGGATCCATGGAGAGAGTATATTTACAGAAAGACGGGTTGATTTAGAGCCACGACGTGATTCCCGAGTGTGAAACGTACCTGAAGTGCTTTGTGCTGTACTGGTGAGGGAACCGCTGTGGCTGGAGGCACGAATGGATGACCAGGCACTGTTAGAAGGCATCGTGGTGTTCAGTGATGAGGATGGCCCTGGGAAACCATAGCAACAGCGTTATTCCTATTGCGTCGTCTCCTATTTAAAGGAGTGCAAAGCTTGGAGTTTCTGGTGAGTCACCAATCTTTAACGAAAAACCTGATTTGCCAATTCCGGTTTTGGTGGATGCCATTTGTTTTTGTCTAGAAAGTTGCTAAATTGGCAACAGTGGGATGACTTTTGTTAACCGGGTAGGTGCAGACGTGACCTGGTGGGCGGGTCAGTCAGTCAGTCCTCTCTCACAGCAGAGAAAAAAGGAGATAGTGGCTCATTTTCAGACCTATGCAGCGGTAGACAAGGTCAGTTTCTCAAGTATTGGTCGATCTCCGATCTCTCGAGGTTAAGAAAATAGGGGCCAATTTATTGGCTGACTTGACTCCTCCGAGTTCCCTTATTTACTAAACTTAGAATCACATCTTCACATTTGAAGCGACGAAGTATGACGGGGCAACATTTTAAAGACGTTTTGTGTGGCCTACCGTTGTTCCTGTCCCTGAGGAGGTCTGTGTCGCGGACGGTGTTGATGGAAAGGTTGTTGATGACACTACCAGGGGTCACGTAAGGGTCAGTCTCGGGGTCGATGTTGGGGTAACCTTTCCAAGGCTCCCCGGGCCGGAACTCTGCAGATAGTCGTCCGCAGTTATTAGCGGTCATTCCAAAGAAACCATTTAAAAAGGAGTTTCCTAGGCTGACGGGGCATCTACCTGGGGGCCAGGTGACAGTATTTCCATGGGGAGGAGGGGAGTTGGCACGGGGTGGCCAGCCATCCCCCACAGAGCCCATTGATTGACCAGGAGGACTCAGGGGAGACGGGCCGGGAGACAGGAAATCACAGAAAGGAGAGTCGTCCAGACGGAGTCCAGACGACATAGCACCTGTAGGATGAAACCTCAGGCTTAGAGACGCAAACAAGTCGACAAGCAGACAGCAGTTTTTTTTCAATGTGCTGTTACTAAATGCACTTAAGGAGTACCAGGTTTACTGCTCTGCTCCAGGGGGTCAGCAGCCCAAAGTTTCTTCAGTCTGGACTGCGGCAGCTCTTTGTAGTTCACAGCTCCTCCGCCACTGCTGCTTCCACCCCCAACACCCATGTCCAGGGTTACATTCTGGTTAGAGTTCAAGCCTGATGGCAAGAGACGGAGGCAGAGGTCAGGAACAGCGAGAGTACATTCAGCTTAATGAAAAATATTCACACCATTTAAACTTCTTCACATTTTTTTTTACGGAACAACCACAAACCTCACTGCTGAACTGAGAAACGTGGAATGAATTAGTTTCAGTCGATCCGAGTCGAATCTTTGCAGAACTTTCAGTCACTAGAAATGAGTGTGTTTGAATATTTTTGCCCACTTCTGTTTGCTAAAACAAGGTTTCCCTCAGGAAACCTGCTCAGCACGGTGGTAGTCCACCAGCGGCCCAAAGTGCATCAACTATAAACCTAGCTTAATCCGTCTAAAGCCCTATCTAACATAAATGACGCTTCACCTGCCCGCCAGGCTTATGGTACACTAGGAGAACCCTGCTAATAAAGCTCAAGCTCAGTCAGATGAGATTAAGATTACATGGCATCTGAACATCAGTTTTCATATTTCATTGCCAACAACAGGTAAGATTTCTCATCGGTTCCTGTCCTTCTTCACCCATACTTTAGTAAATCGTGAATAAAATTACGTCAACCCCATTTGAAATTCGAGAAACTGCGTCTGGTGATTTAGACGACTGACTAGGAGTCGACATACCAAAGGAGAAGTTGCCAAAGGAGCCGATGGAGGAAGCGTCCTTCTGCAGGTCTGGGGTGTTTTGGGACAAGTAGTTGTCGGGATACGGTTTGAGTTGCCGAGGAGGCTGCATCATTGATGGAGACGAACCAATGGGACGCGTCTGTGGAGAGGAGGAGGAAGGAAGCGACATTTTACCTATATCTGGTGGAAGTTGGCTTGAAATTAGGAAACCAACTCACCTGTTCAGTCTGACGACCCATGGGCATGGCCCTCTGGCTTTGAACCTTTTGCTGCTGCTGATGCTGAAAGAGAAGACGCTGCAGACAGACGACGGAGTCAAAACGCAGAACGAGAATCACGACGACCCTTTTAATGACAGTTCTCGCATTTTAACTAAGCCGGGTCTGTGCAAGCCTCCACTGTCGTACCTGTAGCTGGCTGAGCTGGTTGAGCTGGTTGAGCTGGGAGAGTTGGTTGAGCACAGCCACCTGCTGACCAAACAGAGGGTTCAATCCACTGTTAGCTCCTGGGTACTTCAGCAGAGAGGGAGGGACCTGGACCAACAGAGACGGATGCAGGTTTAAGTAAGATCTGCCGTCTTTGGAAGATGAAATGAGGAAGAACACCAGGATGTTCTTCCTCAAAGTGAAGCTTGTGACGCCATTTGCTGAATTAAGCTCTGACTGGATATAAAGGCTGCATTGCCTTTATTTGAGACGCAATTTAAGTAAACAAAGCAAGTAGTTCTTCAGCTTTTGCAATGCCGTCTTGACCATATCAACAAATATATTTAGATGGCAATACCAAAAATGGTATAATCTGGAGACAGAAAAATAAGCATGAAGTTTGGTGAATAAAGGTAATTTTTCATACTGCAATTGGTAATTTAACGATACATTTAAAATGTTCATACTGAGCAAAATTTTATCACAAAACTCCAATAATAATAAACACATAAATAAATTATAATGAAAACTATCAATATAAATATATACAATAAAGATGAATGGGAGCTTATTAGTCTTATGCCAACAGCAGGAGAAAATGAGAATTTGTTCTCAATCAACCCACCAAAAATAAAGGAAAAATTAAGGGAAAAAATAACTAAAATATTTGATCATTTACAGTTTTATACTTGAATCTGGACTTGGTTTGACTGTTTGAAACAAAATTGTTTTGGTTTCTCCCCCACAACTGTAAAAATGTTTTCCACAAAATGTTTTCCATCTTGATCCAAATATTTTCCATGAAATTAGTGGGAATTTTGGCGTCGTATTTTTCTAATTTCTTGCAGATATTTCAAGCACTAGCTAAAAGATTTGTACAAAACCTTCATGCAATTCCAAAATTCAACAGGTTTGTTCAGTTTTGTTGTTTATTTTCCAAAAATAAAGGATAGAAAAGTAAAAATTTCTGGCAGGCTTCAAAAGAGCCCAAGAGTTTCAAAAAAACAAATTGTTTAAAAACAGTTGCTGAATGCCACATGATTATAATATAATTACTGCATTGTTAGTTTGGTCTACCTGAGAGGGCAGGATGGTCGGAGGCACTTGGTTGCGAAGATTGGGTTGAGGTGGGGGTTGGGACTGGGGGCCTCCTCGGCCCTGTGCTACGCTGCTGCCACCCAACATGGGATTTACATTCTGAGGAGGAAAAAGAAAGAAAAAAATAAACCATTTCATATGAAGTTATTTAAACAACCAAGATGCAACAAGAGAAACAACCAACCACATGCTTTTTTTAAGAGTTTAAGGTCTAAGATTTAATAAATGTCAGGAATGTGTTGGAAAATAAGCCACAACGCCAGCCATGTAATCTGAAAGCTCAAAATAATGGAAAAAAACCCCAACAACCACCAATCGTCATCCTTCCACACTCACCTGCGGAGCGGCCCCAGAACTAGAGTGGGAAGGGGATGGCCCGGAGTTGAAACAGGGGATAGGCTGAGCAAAATTGCTAGGGGAAAGGCTCATGCTTTGATTGGAGGAGAGCTCATCAGAAGCAGGGCTATCATAAGCGGAAAGCTGCAGAAACAAAGGCCCGGCGCGAACAGCACATGGACGGCAAGCACAGAGGGACAGGAAGCACGTCAGCAGCCAAATAAGCACAGAGAGGGAAGGGAAGAAAAGAGACAAAGTAATTAATTTTGCATAATGAGGATGGTGAAAAGAGAAAATTCTGGGTGCGAGAGAAAAGTGCAGCGAAGCACAAACAGATTTAAGATCGAGTTGAAGCGCGACAGAAAAACGGACCTGGAAATTTTAACTAAAAAGAAAAGCCTGAACTTCGAGGCAATCTGGTCAAACTCCTTATGAGAGGCAATTTAATCAAGTCAAATACATGAAAAAAAATTACAAGTAATGCTGCGCAGCAACTGAGAAGAGCTCATTTAAAAAAAAAAAACAAAAAAAAACAGTGCAGACATGCAGCGTGTCAGAACAACCACTGAGGGGCAGAAGAGGGCAAAGAAAGCAACAGCTAAGCAGACGATCCTCCCCTCTAAAGGCTTCATAGCTGAAGCTGCTGCGTACCTTGTCAAGGTAAGGACGATCTACGACAGAGTCCTTGTGATACTGGTGTCGAGAAACTGGGTTCTTCCCCATGATGCCGTTGTAGTCCCCCATGCTGCTCATGTCCATACGTTTGTCCGTCCCCATGCCTGATCCTGGCTTCATGGACTCGTCAGGAGAGTCCTTCTGCAAAGGCAAGAAGATCTAGATTTACTGACATTGTTTGAGGAATATGATCAGGAATTTATGCACAGAAAGGCATACAAGTTGCATCTCCTATTGATAATATCCCTGAAAATCTTTGTATTTTTTCCCCCACCATTTCCTACATAAAAACAGTTGAGCCTCTCCACTCTGCTTCCTTGATTTTTCCAAATGAAGTGCAAAGTTTAAATTTAATCTAAAGAGATGAAATTAAAAGAGTCCTTCATCTCTTTAGCAACAGGTAACCTCTGGTCCAGGAATGCAGGAGCTGCTGTAGATGCGTGTCTGCGGCTCTTAAAGGAATAAAATCTACAAATTCCTAAGTGGGCGTTTCCTTCACATTCCCATCGAGACTGAATACGTTTGTACAAGTTATTCTAACAGTTTTTCTTTGCACTAAACTTTCCACTTATATGCTGAAAATGCAGCAATCTGAACAACTAGCTTCATTCTGTGCAGCCCATGATATCTCTGGACTGTGTATATATATATATATATATATCGAATTACTGAAATCAATTACATTTTTTAAAAGTTCTTCAAAATATACCTGTATTTTAAGCATGTTTTTCCACTCATCTCCTCTGTGTCCGAGTTGTACTAACGATGTGAGATTATTGAAACATTCAAACAGAAACTGAACTTTGAGCAGAACAGGATGAAGCTTACAGAGAAAGACATGCTGTTGAACTGGGCGATAAAAGGTTTCCAATGGTCGTCCTGCTTGTTGACTGGTTTGTTCATCTGAAACACAGATTTAAAAAAAGAAAGAGAGACTCTTAGTTTGTCAACGAAAAAAGAGGGGAGGGGGAAATCTAAGTATTTCTGCCTTTTTTAATACAACTGTGTGTTTAATTGGACAGACCTTGTTGGGGCCTTTCTGCTTGTAGTTCCACGTGTTCTGGTCATGAGACCGGCTGTCCTGTTGGTTGTTGCTCCACATCCCAATCTCCACCTCCTCCTCCTGGTCCCAGCTGTTGCTCATGGACACGTCCTCACTACCCCACGTCTCCATAGGCTTGGGACCTGCAGATATTAAGGAAAGACGTTAAAAGACAAGAAAACAAAAGCAGGCGGTGCAGTACGTATGTGAGGTGAACACCTGCCGTCCACCTACCAGACTTGTGCTGGTTGCCCCATCCTGGCCCAGATTCTCTGACGTCCTTGTTGGGTTCGTCCCAGCCAGCGCTGGTGTCCATGGGCTTCCCCCAGGCAGATGTCCCGTTGTCCACCGTCACAGGTGGACCAGCTGAAGGTTCCCCCCATGAGGAAGACTCCTTCTGCTGAGAGTAGGGCTCTCCCCAGCCTGCAGAAGTGGAGGACACCATATGAGCCGCTGTGTAATTTCTGAAGTGTCCCCTTCAGTAGCTGAGACATTGTTGGTATTCGGAAGCATTTCTCTTTTCTTAAACACAGGGAGCCTCTGCAATCAGTCAAACCTCTGGTGTTTAGACACCTCTTTTAGTCTGCTTTGACTAAGGAAGGGTTACACCAATGCCAGCTTGATTAAGCAAGTGTTTATTTAGATGTTTAGCCTTTATATAGTGAGAAACATGTGCAGAAGGCTCTTGTTACAGCTGACCCCTCAGACCTGCAGCTTTCTCCTTCTGCAGGAGGAGTTTGGGGGGAATGCCAGGGAGGGCTTCTTATAAAAATAGGACTGACCACGGGGTAGCCAGAGGTTTCAAAGGTCCTCTGGTAAATGTGCATACAGTTGTAAACTTGCATAAAGGACAAAACTTGAAATTGATTGACACCAGAGATGGGTATCGTATCGTTCATCATTTATCATGATACATTTCACCACGATACATTCCAATTAATGTTTATAAAATCAAAAAAATGTCCGGCTCATCGGCAATGCGACATGCATATTGTGTTGAGATATAATATGCACGCCTTGTAGCAGAATATTAAAAATGTCCAAGTCAAAATCCACTATTTTGATAGTTAAGCTTTCAATTCATTACAAAACAACTCAATTTAACAGCAGTCAGAATTCGAGGTGGTTGTCACATTCGAGTCCATTTAAACCAGTTTCAGCAGATGTCACAAACTCAAATGTAAGACCTTTGACACCATCGTGAATTTAATTTAAGACCCATTATCTCCAAAAACATGCACAGACTTCGTCCAGTAAATTGCTGATGAATGTGCACTTTCCAATGATGGACACACACAAAAAAAAAAGCTAGCTAGCAAGAGTAGGTTAGCAGTGAGTCGCAGGACATAATGAAGATGTCTGCATGTAACCAAGACTTTTGCCTGACAGAAAAATCCCACAAGGAATAAAAAAGAAAAAAATAGACTATGCAACAATAAATAGTCCTACCAAGACAACATTTAAGATTCGTAATTAATATATATAAACCCAACTGTTTGTTGTTTTTTTTTAATTTATGTAGGACTTTTTAGGTACATTAACTTAAGACTTTTTAAGGATGCGCAGACACCCTGTAAACAGTCCTGCCCTTGTATTCTACCCATCTTGTAGCTTTTTAGGAACTTTAAACATCTGGGTAAAAAAAAAAGCATCCCCACATCATGAGGCTGTTAGCATCTATCATTTTATTTCTAAAAATCTAAATTGTTTTTCACCACTTTGCAATTGTGCAAAACATTGTGATACTCTATTCCCTATCATGCAAAAATATCTTAATGTTTATGAAAAATATGACAAATGCAGCTATGAATATGGGCAAAACACAGAGGTTGTTGTAGTTGGTTCACTGCACAAGGACGTGTGAATGGGCTTAACACCCTATTTGTGCATTTCTCTTTCTCAGGCCCTTTCTGCAGAATAGCTGCCTTACACTGAAAACATTCCCATTACCAACGCAGAAGACCTCCTCCTTTGCCATTCATGTTCTCTCTTGCTCTTTTCTACTTCAACTCAACAAAAGTGAACGTGCAGAATTGGTGGGTGAACAAAAAAAACTAAAGAAAGGAAGAAGAAGAGGTGAATGAGAAAAAAAAAATGATGCTCTTAGCATTCCAGAGAGATGACTCAACCAGCTTTGGAAAAAGCTCTCAGCTCAGACAACACAGTAGGAGGACTGAGAAAGGTTTCTACTGGCTCAGTTTTTACCCATGCAGCTCTGAAAACCCATGCATGTGTTATTTGTGAGCATCTGCACAAATAACACATTTTAATTCAGAATACAACTGCTCACTTAATGTGGTATATTTACCTAAAAGTTGAAACGTGAATGCATGATCTGCTTTGAGATTACTTCATGAGATTTAATATATCCAAGTCTCATAACTTACATATACTAGGTAAGGTAGTATAACTTTTATTTTTTTTATTTTATGTAAAAACAGAAATATCTGTGATGTTTTGGATTTATCTGTTCATTCTCTCTAATGAAATGTCAGCTTGTCAAGAGTTTTCCTCTATTACATAAACAGACATTTAAATACACAGTGAAAAAGGCCATTCGTATTCGCAAGTTAATATGTTTGTAACCTACTTGAAGTGGAGGTTTTGTCCTGGTTGACGTGCTGCACAGGCGGCATTGAGCTGTGTGCTGGGTGGGGTTTATTCTGAGAGGGCGGGGCCATGGGCTCCGGATCCGACTGAGTGGTCCTGCTCCACATGTTGACAGCGCCTCCGCTGTATTTACCTGCGAAAAGTTTGCAACATTCTTATAAATAGCATGTTTTTATTTTTCAGGCACAAATATGCAAGGACATTTTGGGATATTTCTTTTTTTCAATGAGCCTACTCATTGAAAAAAAAATTCTGCATAATTCTTTGAATACAAATATGCTACTTTGGTGTAATCGTGACCTAACATAGTGCAAATCTGACAGCTTCATGTCTGTCACTTTGCAATAGAAAAAGATTTCCATTCATACTCTCAAGTGCTCAGTTGTTAGTTGCCTTTAATGGTTTAATGTAAAATCAGTCTTTTTAAAGATATCAGTATTGGAATGGGTCGTTACCAGGATCTCCCCACGCTGCAGTTCCGTCATCAATCTCCATTCTCCGACGGATGGACTCTGGAGAAGGTTCCTCCCACCCGGTTGCAATGTTCTCCTTCTGGCCTACAGCAGGCATTGGGCCACCAAGCCAGCCTGAAATAACAAAACCATGACATAAGCTCGATTATTCCTCTCAAAACGCTTCACTGTAAACGCATTCAGTTCAGCTATGATCAATTCTAGCAATGGTAAACCCCTCTGATCCCTACCTGTGGGTTTGCTGGAACCCTGGTTGCCCCTGGACATGCTGGATTCAGGACCTTTACTCCATTCGTTAGAAGGTTTAGTGTTGGCGTCCCCCCAGTTCTGAGCTCCATGGTTGTTCTTCCCCGGCTCACCCCAGCCTTGGCTGCTACTTTGAGGGTTGGGCTTGTGGACCGGGTCTCCCCAGTTGGAACTGGGGTTTGGAGTGCTCTGGTCAGGAGTATTTGGTCCTCCGCTGCCTACCCAGGTGCTGCTGCTGCTGGTGGTCCGGCTCGGCTCGCTCCAACATCCGGAGCCGGAGCGGTCGCTGTCGCTGTCCCAGCCCACTGAGCTGGCGCCCTTCTGAGGTTCCCCCCAGTGGTTGCTGGCTCCTGTTCTGGTGCCGTCGCCACCGCTGCTGCCCCATCCCTCGCTACCGTTTCCACTGTTGGACCCCCAACCCTGCTGCATTTTGGGTGTATTAGTCCATGTCATTGACCTAAAGGGGGGGGTAAAGGTTGGTAAATTGTAAATACACACTGAAAAACAAAAAATATAATAAAATTGTTATAAGCATGGTTGAGAGAACATTCAGAGAGAAAAGGTGATTATTAATATAAAGGAATACCAGAATTTAAAGGTTTTATTAAAAAAAGAAGCAACAATTGGCTCTACTTCCAATGCATTTTGATACATGCTGATTAAATATTCTGGTATGAATATACCAATTTAATTCTGGTAACAAGCTATCAGCTGGTTAATAAGTCTGGCTTAACAGATATTCTAATCATACACCTATGAATGATGGCTGCCGCTCATTTTTCCTTTCAGCCAGCTGAGCAGCAGCAAGAGGAGGGAGTTGCAAAGCAAAATTTGCAACTTTCTGTTTTACTATGACCTTGTTAAGCCATTAAAAATTTGTTCTAAGAAACTCTCAGAGTAACTTTTTAGCTTGCATGCAGCTGGAAAGTTGGGCAATGCTCACCTGTCCTCTTTAACGTTGTTGTTGTTCCAGGTGTTGCTGCTGTTACCACCCTTGTAACTGGATCCATCATCCCAGCCACCTCCTCCTTTACTGTCCCAACCTGATGTTTGTTTCTGCTCTCCCCAGCCAGAGCCTCCATTATCAGGGCCTGAGCTGCTTGGCCCAACCCCCCAACCTGCAAGCACATCCAAGACACAATGATCAACTTTCCTTCTTGATGTTTTATAGTGGGAACAGTAGGTTTATGTTGAATATTTCAGCTCCTACCTCCAGAGGTCTGGGAGGGAGCTGCCGACGTTGCTGTGCCCCAGCTGGAACCCCCGCTGCTCTGCTTTCTTTCATCCCCTTTAGGACCCTGATTGACCGAGGGAGAATTGACGTCCCAAGCGGTGTTCTGCCGTATGGGCGTTTGTCCCCATCCAGTGTTGGAAAGAACCCTCGGGTCCACATCGACCCGGGTTATGGCTGGCGTCATCGACGGGGTATGGTTGCCTTTCCTGCGGTTTCCTCCTTTAGACTGGTTGACGTCCCTGTCTGAGCTGGATCGACCTCCGGAGCTTTCACAACTTCCTTCGCTTCCTCCGGAGCAGCCCCAGCCTCCAGTGACTCCTCCCAGGCTCTGACTCCCGCCGCCTGCTCCTGCTCCTCCCATACCCATAGCGTCATCCTCGAGGCTCTTCCACCCATTGTTGGGAGAACTTCCTTTCTGAATTCCTGCGTCTGAACTGTTGCCAGTCGTCACCGATCCCCATTCTCCGTTTGACATTTTGCTGTTCGAGGTGGAAGAAGACGATGACGACGACGAGGAAGAGGAGGATGCGCTGCTCCCCCACGGGCGAGGGATCCCTGCTGGAGGGCCCACAGTAGTTTGGTTTCCACTTCCAGGCGCTTGGCCTGTAGAGCCTGGGATTTGATTAGGGCCAACGCTCCAGGACAAGTTACTTTGAGGCTGGTTCGGGGTGTTGGTGGGCCCTTGGTCCGACCGTGGGGCCCCAGTGTTATTGTGGTTATTATTACTCTTAAAAGCAGCAGTAGAGGAGTTCTGGGAGTTCACAGTGTCTACATTAAGGGGGCCTTTGTCTACAGGGTAGGTAGCTGCGCCCCAAGGCGTACCAAAAGCCCCAGTACCTCCTGATTCTCCTTGAGAGTGCTGGGGAGCTAATGAGGAGCTTCCATTGGCCAGCGGCCCCCCATTTCCTCCTCCAATGGAGCCCCAGGAATGCTCCCCGCTGAGCAGGGGTGAGGCGGTAGAGTCTGGTGGACTAGAGGTCATTGTGGCGTTAGTAGTAGTAGTAGTATTCATCAGGATAGTGTTATTTGGTCCATTGGGTTCAGTGTTAAGGTTGCTAGGCAGCAGACCGCCATTGCCACTATTGCTGCCTCCTAACACCTTGCTGCTCGATGTACCATTATTCACCTCAGTGTCTTCCATCATACTGCTGCTGTCTGGAGCTGCCATGCCCCCCCAGGCCATTAAGGGCCCGTGGTGAGGAACCACACCCAGTTTAGAAGTCATCCCGTGAGCCTGTGGAGGCCTTTGGCCCTGGCACACCGGGTTTGGGGTTGGATTCTGTGGCCAGGCACCGTGGTTGGCATTTGGATTTAAAATGTTTGGGTTTGACCCTCCATTTATATAAGAGTTGCTTCCACCGATGGTGTTCATGTTGCTGCCTGACTGGGAGCCCCATACACCACTACTGCCAAATAGCTTGTTGTTGTGGTTACTCATATTATTGCTGCCAATACTGCTGGACCCAGCCATGGAGTAGTGTGAGGATCCGGTGATATTGTTTTCGTTATTTGCGTTGCTTAAGGTTCCGATGCCTCCGACCTGACAAATGTTGCTGTCTCCGTTCACACCGACACCAACCATCATGGTGGATGTCAGGGAGGAGGGGGAAGAAGCTGTGGAGGACACGGAGGAAGAAGTGTTGGCTGACATCATCATCACTGTAGTCGCAGCAAGGCCGAGGTTCTTCTCTGAACCGACTGAAGAGTTAGAATCTGCATCCATGCATTCTGATGCCAACTCCGGATCGGACCCTGAACCACAGCCAGAGGAGGATGAGGAGCAAGAAAATGAAGAGGAGGAGGGAGGCCACACAGAGGAGCTGGGTGAACAAGTGTTGTTGGATTTGTCGGAACTCCCGTCACCTAGGACTTTGCTCCAGTTGCTGTTACCATCACTGCTGCACGGGGAGCCAGAGGACCAGGGGGGAGGCTCATACTGGGAGTCCAAGCCAGGATGCTCCAAACCTGCGGAGAACAGGATGGAACGCTGTTGAGATTTGAGCGTAGAAGCAGCTGCAAAAAATGCTAATCTATCCATCCTGAAGCCAGAACTGGTTCGTGAAAGACCTAAAATGAAGTCTAGTTAAAGTTTTACTCCGCTATAGGAGGGTCACTCTAGGGTGGTTACAAATTGTCCAAAAGGCCTGAGGACTAAGTTGATTTCAACCCCTTTCCACCTCGATACTTTCAGGAAGGGACTTTAATAATCCAAAAAGTTTCTAGCTGGAGTTCAATAAACTGGTTTAGGGCTGCAAATGTCACATAATCTTTTGGAGAGAAAAAAAAAAAAAAAAAACAACTTGTGATTTTTGATGTAAAAAATTTGCTGTCATTATTGAAAACCTAAACCTTTACTTCTATTTTCAGGTTTTAGAGGGGAAAAAAAACTTTTGAATGAATACATTTTAAAATGGTGCTTTAAAGGAAAAATGATCTAAAAATTAGTTGATGGTATTTTTGTATTTTATTGTGGAAATTCAATAATGAAAATCTGCTAAAACCTTTATTTGAAATTATAGTTATTAAAATCTAAAGACAAAGTCATCAAGAGCCTGGAAGCTGCAGACCCCTGGACCAGCGTTTCAATTTAAAACAATATTAAAATAGTATTATAATAGTAGCTCTGTAAAAGATGTTTACCAAACATTGCTTCCCAGGCTTCAGTTATTACATTAATAAGATTTGTTTAATCATGGTACAAACTCTGCGACTGATCTGTCACCGACGACCCGATGCCAGTTCCTCCCAAAACAACATCCAACTGTACATCCATTACGCCACAAAAGTAGAGAAACAGACCTCCATTAATACTACAAACATCGGTTTGGTGTATTAAGTCCGTTAGATGGTTTTTATTTAACTCCTCATTCACAATCTTTATATTTTGCCATTTTGTCCAATCGTTAATTTGCCAACTGTTCTGAATGCCATTGCTGCCAAAACTAAGCCTGGACACAGCTGCCACCATTTTGTCTCCACAGCAGGATACAAAAGCATGCCAAAGCTATTAAAGAAGATTCAGTGAGGCAGGCGACTGGCTGCTGACGAGGCGTTGGAGGGCACAGGAAGGATGCCAACTGCATGAGGAAAAAGAAGTTGGCAAGGGGGAGGAAATGAAGGCATCTAAGATTGAAATCAACAGCATTCAGATCTGGCATGTTTCTAAAATTAGATTTCAGACTGCATCCAGTTATCCCCCTCCTTCACCGTTAAACACCCATTCTGTCACTGTGGCGTCTGCCTAAATCTTCAGGAGGCATATTCACTGTAGTAATTCTGTCATGTTGCATCAGTATGTGGTTCTCACAGCAGGAAATAAAAGTTTGACACCAAAACCAAAGCTCAATGAATCCAGATCATTTGACTATTGTGTTAAAAAAAAAAAAGCAATCAAGAGAATATTTGATGCAACATTTACATTTTCAATCACAACTCAAAAGACGGAGGTGGTCTGTTTTAATGGCTAACAGGACAAAACTTGGGTTAGTAATGCCATTTCAAAATGAAAGCATCTAATGCAGCCTCTCAGACGCTGCAGGCACAAACAGGAAGTGTTCAGAATGACGTGGTTCCTCTTGTCAGATTTTTTAACCTTCTCTTTTCGCTAAACCTGGCAGGAAAGCCAAATAATAATGCAAGGCATACTATCAATTAAACAAACAATTCTCTATTGAAATTGTCACCCGAGATGCAACTTCCTGCTAACCTTCACAATAAAACCATGAATGAAATGTATGTAGTTTATTATAAAGGCATTTAAAATTTTGTCTCGTTCCATTTGTAAGACGAAATTACATATTAGTATTATTATTCTACCAGCTTCCAATAATCTGTTTTACAAAAAAATAGTGATTTCAACTGGTGTCTGTGACATTTTGTTTGTTTTTGTTGGTGAAGAAGGTTCCTAAACCACAAAGACAGTATAATGAAGCCAAGTGTTGTAGCTGATGCAGCATGTCAACAGGACTGGCTACAAGTCAGCTAAACACAACCAGATATCTGAATGTTTTCCTTTAAACAATCTTCACTTCTAAAGCCTCCATCTGAAAAATAAAAAATTGTCCCCGTCCAGCGTATCTTACAATGTTTGCCAGATCTTTCCTTGCACCCTGCAACATTCCCTTCCTCTCCCATTTATCTCCATCCCACCGAGAAGCAATGAACACAATGCACCTTCCATCAAGGTCAAGACCCGGTCTCACAATTTTTTAAAGCAAACAATCATCATAGGGCATTACAGGACAGAAGGGCATGCAGACAGAGAGTTCAGGAAGAAGCCATAACGTTGTGTCACCTGTTTGATTAGGGGAATGGCTGACGGAATCCCGAATGGGAGCCATGCCTGGAAACAGAAAGCAAAGGATCAGACTTGAAAGGGGACAGAGGTGGAAAACAGAAAAAGGTTTTAGAAATAGTTGAAGCTGAAATGCAATTCAATGAGAATCCAGTAGTGCAGAGCGCTAATGTCGAGAACATTCGAGAGAAGAGAAGCTTGCAGTGTGTTAGTGGCCAGTGTACGCACAAACATTTAGGGCAGCGAGTAACGATTGAAGTAATGTATTCATTATTCTGACGATTAATCGGATTAAAAAAAACAAAAAAACATGCATATTCTGCAGATTTTTCATTCATCCACTGAAGATTATTTTATACAATGTTAGAAAAACATTAAAAAGGACAATGAAAATAAGTTTCTTTTTGTATAAGACAGACATTATACTGCATTTTAATCATTTCAGCCCTACCTACATCTACAGTTATCTTTAGTTAGTCAGATTTCACGACTCATAGCGTGTTTTCACTTTTGATGAATTGAGGATCTCTGCAAATTATCATGAGGTTTTTTTTTCTTCTAATCATCATAAAACGCATACTGGTCAACCCATGTATTCCTAAATGCTCAAATCAGTAAAAGCTAATTAGAACATAAACATGTTTATGTAACTCAATAGTTGTAATTATGACTCAGACATTATTTCACATGCAATCAAAAGAACACATCCCTTTGAGGCAACAGGAGGCTCACTCAAATGGTTAACCGTTTCCCTTACATTACGATTCTCTCATACCAATTCTTAAAAATTGGATAATAATAAAAGTGTTTAGTGAGTTAAAGCAAAAGGACCCCTCCGCCACATTCAAAACCATCTAAGTGAACATTTGTCCTCAGGACCGACATCCATGGCAAACAGTGCGTTTATAAAGCCTGGTGTTGCTGTAGGAAAACAGAAAAGCTCCTTCTGCTTCTCACAGTTTACCTTTGAGTGCCACTGCTGGCTGCAGCTCCTGGCTGGACAGGAGGGCGTCCCCGACTTCGGTGGAGAACAAGCGACCGTTGGTTCCCAGGTCGGCAACGGGGAGGTCAGCGGTCAAAGCTTGGTTAAGCGCAGCCTCAAGGGTGTGAGGTGAGGAGGCAGAGCTTGTAAGAGCAGGCAGCAGGCTGATCAGCCCCCCTTGGCATTGCTGGGGACTTTGTGTGTGTAGGGGTGTGTGTATGGATGGGGAAGGGGTGTAGGGGGCTGTGGTTTTGATTAAGGTCTCTGTCTTGACCAAGTATGCTCTGGCACTGCGAAAAAGAAGAGAGAAAAATGTTATTAGCGGTTTTTAAACAACTATATCCAGGGCTTCCCCCAGTGTATTATAAGCCTGGCGGGCCACCAGGCTTTACTTGTGCCCCCCTCCAGGCTAACTACTGCTTATTTATTTAAGTCTTTTTAAAATATTTGCATTTTTAAGACCTTATAGTTTGTGTTCAGGGGTTAATCTTCCAATCTTTCAGTAACACATGATTATTAAATTCAAATTTCCCGTCAACTTTAAACATTTTCTGAACTTAAAAACACAACATGTTGCTGGACGAATGACTGCCCCAGCACCAAACCACCAGGCTTAGCAAGTTTTCTGGGGGAAACCTTGTATATCCATAAGCTAAAGCATTTTTTACATTTAACCTGAGATTTCACATTAAAACATATTTTAATTTCCCCTTTTCAGAAAGAAAACCAATTCATGAAAACCTGAAAATAATCTAGTATTCAAGAATTGAAGTGTGAAAAAACAACAGTCTGGCACCTTTCAGCCACGATCACCACTAACATCACTGATAAACTATGAGACCAAGAGCAAAAAATGATGAATAAGTTAAAAAGAACGTTAAATAACTCATCTACTGTCAGCTACGACTAGGCCTGTCACAGTAACAAATTTTGCTGAGCGATTGTCTAAAAAATTATTGCGATAAATGATAATATTGTTTCAAGACCTTTTGACACTGATTTAATGGAAATGCCTAATAATGCATGTGATTTCCTGTCATAGATAGATACACTTTATTTTCAAAAGAACACATAACACTGGAACTGATAAAACAAAACAACCAAAAACAAAAATAAAATGGATTCTCAGGCTCCATTAACAAAAAAGGTACTTGAATAAAAACTAAACAACATAAAGCCAAAGTGGAAATAAATACTGCATTCAACCAAAAGAGTGCAGATTATGAAGTCTGTATACTATATTATCCTTCAGTAATCACTAGATTTAAATAGAGAAGACGGGCACATCCGACCACCTAATGCAATAGTTCACACTACACGATTTTTTGTCCTCATTTTCCCCTTACGACAATCTTAGATCGTTGGCCGATCTAAGATTCTCGCTGGTGATTTCGTAACCGATCATCCTGCAGTGTGTGGTGAGTTACGGTGGATTGTCGTGGCCGCTCCAATCTAAATCAGGTGTTTTCCCCGACTGGGAGCTTAACGCTGAATGTGACAGGTAGCCAATCAGAAAGCACGGATTCTCCTCCACGAGGGGAATCCCAAACAGCTGACACGGTGAAATGATATGTGGGAACAACAATAATATTTAACATTTCATACAAAGAA